GGAACAAAAGCAGAAGGTCTTCTGACTGCTGACAGATAAGTGTGTTTTGGGTCATGGGAAATCAGGAAGCGGTCCAAGGAAAGGAAACTGCCAGCATGCTGGCCTGTGGCCTGCATGGGGAGATCCAGGGCTAATGGATGGACCTGCAGTCCCCATGCATCGTCTGTTTGGGTGAAGGGCCAGCCCTCCAAGTCAGTTCAGGGCCTGCCTTGTCTCACACCTTCCTTGTGAGTTAGCCAGAGACAGACCCCCCTGTCTCTGGTGGCTTTTTCTTATGTTCTTTTTCTTCCTAAGCTTAGGACCAATCAAAACCACCAGGAGTCTGAGGAACTCAGACGGGTTTGGTGGGGTGGGGGGGTGAGGGGTTGGTATAGAGCCTGGGTTTGTGTATGCATCCCTGCCAAGACACTGAGAGAAAGAAATCAGCAAGTCCAAAGGAAGAAGTGGTCCAGGAGGGGTTAAAGGCTATGAAAGCCCTGATGTGGGGGGAAGGAGGCTGCCTGGAGGCAGTGTCTGTCGAGCACTTTCCCTGTGTAGCAGCTTTTGCACGTGACCTCACTTAGTCCCTGCCCAACCCTTCAAAGAGTAGGGATTATGGTCCCCATTTTACAGGGCAAGGTACTGAAGCTCAGGAGGCCAGGTAACTTGCTCAGGGTCAGGGGGCTGTAAGTGTCAGCATTAAGCTTTGTGCCCAGAACCCCTCCCTCCAGTCCACAGGCCCGAGATTCATTTTGAAGAGTACAGCCCTCTCCTCCTGGTCCCGTTTCCCTATCTTCACATCAAGCACCTGCCCACCTTCCCTGCCTCTTTGTCCACTCCTACCCCCCCCCCCCCCACACACACACACACATTCTCAGGACAAACACAGTTGTCTGCCTTGGCCCTCCTGGCCGTGATGGGACAGGAACAGGTCCCAGAATCCAGGCTCTCGGGGAGACCCGGCAGGATCCCGCAGATCCCTAAGCAGCCTCCCAGAGGCCCCTGCACGTGGCTCAGGAGCACAGCCCACCTCAGGTGGAGGGGCGATATTCTCCAGAACCCTGCAGCTGTGCACACCTCTCCCAACAGTGACCCAGGCCCACCCTCAGCCATCTCCCTGACCAGGTGCCCAGCTCTTCTCGGGACCGAGGCAGGCAGAGGAGGAAAGAAACTCTGTCCTCCAGCAATAAGCCTGGCCTTGGGTCCCTTGGCCTCTGCTCTGCTTCCAGCAGCCATTCCCTCCTCCAGGCCCGGCCTCCCTTCTCAAGCAGACCGTGCCCATGAAGAGCTTGAGGTCCAGAGTCAGACACTCCTGGTCTGCTGCCTCCAGGTTCCCTGGCTTTGCGCACCACAGGCCCCAAACTCAGTTCCCTCGTTCGTACAGAAGAGACAGGGACGGCACCTCTAGGGTTGTTAGGAGGATCAGATGGAAATGATGTGGAAAGCCTTCCATGGAATTGCGTGGTTTTGGTGATGTGTTCCCTGAGCTGTGAGGTCAAGGGCCACACTGTGATGTCTACTGCCACGGGCCCTGGTTCCTTACATCTCGTAGCTCAGTTGTGTTTGCCAACGAAAATCCCACCAGATGCCCAGATGATACTGAGCTCAAACTCATGCACAGAGACTGTCCCTGACCCACAGAGGTTCACGCTGTGTTCACCACGTCTCGGACAGTGTGACTGTCATGGCCTCTAACCGCCCCGCCCCCGGCCTGCAAGTGCAGGGAGCCTGGTGGGGGAGGAGACCCTGAGGCCGCACGTGAGGCCAACTGGACTCAGCCAGGGTCCACACCCAGCCTGACCCGCCTCCGCCAGTTTCCCCCACACCCCAGGCTGCTTACGTCAAGCACTGGTGCGTGGGAGCAGAGGGGAGAGCCCAGGGGAGAAGGGCGGGTCTGAGCTTGTGCTCCATGGGGCTGCCTCGTGGGTGAGTGAAGTCGAGAGTGAAAGCCTTGTTTGGGCTGTGCCCGTGTCTGTTGCCCGTAATGGTGTGTGCCCAGGAGGGGTTTGAGAAGAAGATCTCTACTCGCAAGTGTGAGCAGGTAAGGGCCCAGAGAGTAGGGCCAGCGAGTGACTGGGGAGGCAGAGAAGGTGAAAGAAGATCCAGCTGCTGTGCCTTTCCTCAGGACAGGCAGGCAGGCAGGTTCTCCTAAGCTGTGGAAGGGCCAGTGCAAAACCTTTTTGCAAGGAGCCTGGAGAGAGGGCGTATAATAGGCCTGGGATGGGGCACGGCCTGATGGGTGCCTGGCCTCCTTTGACTCAGCCAGGCAGGCACCGTTCGGGGAGAACCCAGCGGTCCCAGCAGCCGCCCCTCTGTTGCTGTGACCAGCAGCCCCCAGCGTGGCTTGGAGTGCACTGCCCGTGCCTCACAGCGCTCCTGGAAGGAGGGCCGTTGTCAGCTCGGGGTGTGGATGGTGAAATGGGCTTGAGGAGGCTGCGTGGCTTGTCCTAGGATGGACAGGTGTGGAGCTCTCCCCGGGGCAGTGACTGAGTCACCCCAGAGCCCTGCTTTTCCCATCCCACCACACTGCTTTCCTCCGTGGGGACACATGGAGAGGCCGCAGGGCCCCTGGCTCCCCGACTCTTCACTCCTACCTTCCCAGTTAGGGCTTCTGCCTCTTGTTCTGGGACATTGTTGGGGAGGCCAGGGGCTCGTGGTCCCTCTACCAGAAGTGCTTGACATTAAGGTGACAGCACAAAGGAGGGTAACCAAAACTCCCCCTCTGAAGCCAACGTAAACAAGTTGAAAGGCAGCCTTGTCACCATGAAAAGGGCAGGTTTTGGTGTTCGAGGAGCACTGGGTAGTCCATGCGGCCTGAGCACAGTAAAGCCGCTCTCCCCGTGGGTGCATTTAGGCACGTGTATGAAACAGTCGGTGGCCCTGTGGGCCCTGCAAGGCCGGCCTGTGTGCAGCTGGACTGTGCCGTGCACCTCTGGAAGGCATGAAGCCGACCCTCCCACACCCTGCCAGTGCACAGAGAAAGGCAGGCGGCTAACGTTTTGTGTGGCTGGTTCTTGAGAGAATAACAACTACCGCCATTTTGGGGGCCCTTCCTCCCACAAATGCAAACCGTGCTAAGTGTTTGTGTGCACCCTCTCCAGTCCTCGCACACCTGCCCTGAGAGCTGGTACTGTTATGATCCATGTTTCACCAAAGCGGAAATGATTAAGAGATTTACCAGCTGGTCTTACCCACTCGTGACTCATGTCCAAGCTGCAAAACCTCACTGTTCGGCCCTTTCTGGCCCACCTCCCTGAGCGCTCTTCTTAGCTGTTGTCAACAGGTTCTGCATATTTCAGTGAGTGATTTTGTGACATGTGAGCCAAAAAGGCCACTTTTAAGCCTGTTGAACAGGTTGCTGGGATCTAATAAACATGCACAAACAAGTGACTGACATTTAAAACTCTGCCTCGTTCTGTGACCGCATCTCAGAGGTAACAAATGCACCTCTCGTTCTGGGCAGGAGGTTGAAGCCACGGTTGTTATCATTGGTGTATTGATAGAGCAGTGCCCTGAAATTTGACAGTTTTAACTTATTTCCTGTGCTCTGAGCCCACAAGTGATCACTTTTGGTATATTCAGGAATACCACAGTAAGGTGGAATGTGCCTAAGGATAAAAGTAGTTTGGAGACTTGTTAAGTTTTATTTCTCAGTCATGAAAATCATGCTGTTTGAGATATATGTGTGTGTGTGTGTGTGTGTGTGTGTGTGTGTGTGTGTGTGACCTATACATTTCTATATGATTTGTGTGTGTCTGAGGCATTGGATAAATTCAGGTTTTAAATGAGCAGACCCACCAAAGATCCATTTCGGAGGTGCTGCTTAGACTCATGATAGTCTTAAACTCAGCTTTGCACATTTTTCCAGCATTCTGTGGCCCACTGGAATCCTCAGCCGACCCTAATTTGCTTTGGCCCATTCATATTCCCTGGTGCTAGTCCTTCCAGGATTAATCAAAGAGAACATAAAGCACCTATCCATATAAAACCAAACCCACAAGGCGTGGCAGAACCTGAGCTCATTTCTCTTGGGTGCCTGGTGATGGAGGTCTGAGTCACAGAGTCAGCACTGGTTTTCATGGCTGCTTTAATCTCCCCTGCTTCCCAGTCGGCAGAAGAATCTTCTGAACTTGGGAGCCCAGAGTGTCACCTGCCATCAAGACCTTTGTTGGCCAGGTCCCCCTGTTCAACCCTTAGTCCCATTCCCATTCCCATTGAAGGAGAACCTGGGGTCTTGAGAATCACACGTCATTCCCTGGTGTCGGTATTCTCGGGGTAGAGGAAGGAAAGCTCTGGCAGCTTTCAGTCTCCCCTTTGAGCTTCAGGCCTGGGTGTGAAAGAAGAGGGCACAATCTGCGCATGCCTGAGAAGAAGCATTCCCACCCCAGCTGCACCATTTGATAACTTCTCCTTGGGAATGCCCATGCTATACACAAAGCCTTAGAGGACACAGCCATGCTCCTGTGACTTCTGAGCAGCCTCTCCAAGCCCAGCAAGGCCTACAGCTGGAACATGCTGGTCGCCTCCATGTTGCGAGAGGCTGAAGCAGTCCTGGAAGTGTCCTCTGAACACTGCCGTTGGCTTGAGACACCCAGGTAAGGGAGGCAGCCAGCGTCTTTCACAAGTTTCCAGAAGTTCTTCCGAAACTTCAGGCCAACAAAGGCATAGAGCACAGGATTAAGGCAGGCACGCAGGTAGGCGATGGCCTCTGTCACTGTGATGGCATAGTGAAAGCTAGTCATGGTGTGGTACTCCCAGCTCGCGCTGCGGATGAGCTTCACGAGGTTGAAGGGCGTCTGGGGCAGCAGGAACACCGCCACCACCAGGAAGATGATCTTCAGAGGCTTGTGCTTCTGGAAGCCTCGGGCCTGAAGCAGTGTCTTGATTATGACTGAGTAGCAGACAATCATGGCAAGCAATGGCAGGAAGAACCCCAGTGTCATCTGGGTGGCCAGAACCATGGTGGAAATCTCCTCGTTGTGATAGCCGCAGACAGGCTTGTCAAGGTAAAGGACGTTGCCATAGATGATCTGCGGCAAGGAAACCAGCAGGGAAACTACCCAGATGGACAAGCAGACGGCCTTACCCCAGGCCATCCGCTTGGCCTGCTGGTTATAGGCCTTGGTGGCCTGAACCACTGCAATGAAGCGGTCCACGGTGATGCAGGTGAGGATGAGCATGGACGTGTAGAAGTTCAAAGTGTAGATGCCCAGCAGGGTTTTGCACATGACTTTGCCGAAGACCCACTCATGGATGCCTGCGTAGGCCCAGAAGGGCAGAGTACAGACGAACACCAGGTCAGCCAAGGGTAGGTTCATTAGGAGCACGTCCGTCAGGCTCTTCAGCTTCTGGTAGAAGATGTATATGACCAGCACCAGGGAGTTCCCCACCAGGCCACAGAGGAACACCACCACATACATGCAGGGCAGGAACAACTTGCTGAACTGCAGGAAGTGTTCGTGCCCCTGGCTGCTGTCATTGGAAGCGTTGAAGAACCCGGGGTCTCCGTAGTCGTACTCGGCCATGGTGTCTTTTCTGATGGATCCCTGGGAGTCAAACCACAGGAATTATATATATCTGGGGCTGAGGGTGATCCCTCCTGTCTTCCCATTGCCCACAGTTAGGGGGCAGATAGTCACCTCCTAAACCCACCCACTGTTCTGCTCAGTAACAGCCCGGTATATTGGGGACAACCAGTTCTGAGGGGAAACTGCTCAGACAGGACGAGGAACCCTTCACTGGCCCTAAAGTTCTCAGGATCTCACCTGTCTGGGAGACAACACATAACTGACCCCACCCACATTCCATAAAATCCTGTGCTCAATGGCCTTGGAAGCAAAGGTCACCACGGGGTGAACTGGGGACTGTGTCCTTTTGGAAGAGCTGCGCTGCTCTTCAGTGGGGAGGGCTGTATTCATCTGCCCATGCCTCGCAGAAGGTGCCCACCCAGCCTGTGCCCCATCTTCTGTTAAGTTGACCCCTGGACTACGAATTGTGAAAGCTAAGGCAATATCCCCCTTCCTGGGGATCCACCATCAAGGAGACTCCTGGAGACCAAGAGGTGTTTGGTCCTTTCTGCCTAGGTGGGCCATCCATCCTGCCTTGTCTTGCCATGATGGGGAGCCAGGGCAGGGAAGAGCCCAGGCTGCCCAGTGCTTTGGCCAAGCGGCTTTCTGACCAGGGAACTGGGCAGTTTTCCTCACGCCCAACCCCAGCTGTCCCCTTCACCGTCTGTCACAGTGTATGACATTCCACCCTCAGGGCCTCTTTGATCTTCAGGAATCTCTTACAAGGTAGATTCCCCCAGAAGGGAACATTGCTTTAGCTCTTATGACCAGCAGTGTAGGGCTGAGGGGTCTCCTTTAACACACGGAAGAGCTGATTGAAATGGGACGTCAGGTGGGTGGGCTACCACAGCAGGGCTGGTGGCCAGCCTTGCAGTGGGACTACTTATAGCAAAGACCAAATAGCTGTCTTTCTTGCCTGGGGGTCCCAGCCCTTCAAGGTTATCACTTCCCTCTGACCCTTCTCTGGGCCCTGTGACCCTGCTGGGGACCATGGACCAGACACGGGTGATATAATCTGTGGTGTGGGAGTAGGGGCAACTGCGGCAGCATCGGCCTTGGAGGGCCAGGTCAGTCCCTGACACTGTCCTGCAGGTACTCAATACGCAGGGACTCTTCCAGTGAGTGGTGCCATATCCCACTGGCACCTCAAGGAAATGTTTAAGAAGAGCAGGCATTTGGTTTAGCAAAGTCAGAATATCAACCGGCCAGACAAGGGGGTATAAAAGGAGAGATGACCTTTCCTTTCTGGTCTCCTCGGAGACTTTTCTTTTCCTGATGCTGGGTCCTGACAGGAAGGGATTTCAGCCCTGCTGCCACCTTGGTATTTCATGGGCTCAAAGCACCCTTTCTCTCCAAGGAAGAACCTTGTCTTTGGGCTAAGACTACTCAGTGAAAAGTCCCTCCTCCTGGACCACAAAATGTTGGACCTCTAAGAGTGAAAGGCAACCCGTAGGCATTGTGCCCCACCAGCTCTGGGCTGCTAGGTTAAGTGGGTCAGACGATGCTCTGTGGGTGTTACCGCTTCACATGGGGAGAAAAATATATTCTTCATCATTTAGAATGTGACATTGAAAGTAATGTCAGATCTCCATTATTGTTTGACTTACTCTAGGCCTTTAAAAAAATTCTCCTGGGACTTCCCTGGTGGCGCAGTGGTTAAGAATCCTCCTGCCAATACAGGGGACACGGGTTTGATCCCTGGTCTGGGAAGATCCCACATGCCGCAGAGCAACTAAGCCTGTGTGCCACAACTACTGAGCCTGTGCTCTAAAGCCTGCGAGCCACAACTACTGAGCCTACGTGCCACAACTTCTGACGCCCGCTTGCCCTAGAGACCGTGCTCCGCAACAAGAGAAGCCACCGCAAGCAATGAGAAGCCCACACACCACAACAAAGAGTAGCACCCTCTCGCCACAACTACAGAAAGCCCATGCAGCAACGAAGAAAGCCAAAAATAAATAAATAAATTAATTAATTAATTAATTAATAATTCTTCTACTAAGGCTGTTGCTGCATCCTTAGGCTGGCATTGCAGTTTCCTCAAAGGACCCATGCAAATTCATTTGTAATAATTGGTAAACTAAGCAGTGTTTAACAGATTGGGACTGCACAGTTCTGTGCAGATAGATTGTTAAAAATTACTTTCCCTTCTAGAAATATTAAAACCATCTGTTTCTTTATTTTCTCTAACCAAAGTCCTATGTTGATTTGTGAAAATTAAAAAGAAAGTAATATATACAACTTTGGAAATAGTGTCTGATAATAAATAAATAAACAAAGTATAATTTAGGCATAAAACAGAATATGACTGAAATGTTTAGGAAGTGCCTTTAATGATTTTGGGAAATGCAATACATTTAAAAAAATTTTTTATTGGAGTATAGTTGACTGACAACGTTGTGTTAGTTTTAGGTGTACAGCAAAGTGAATCAGTTATATATGTATAAAATATATATATATATATATATATATATATATATATATATATATACACACACACACATACTCTTTTTTTTCAGATTCTTTTCCCATATAGCTCATTGCAGAGTATTGAGTAGAGTTCCCTGTGCTATACAGCAGGTTCTCATTAGTTATCTATTTTACATATAGTAGTGTGTATATGCCAACCCCAATCTCCCAGTTTATCCCTCCCCACCCCCCCCAAAATGCAATGTAATATTGGCTGTTACTATTACAACGAATAGGTGACAAAGTGAATGTAAAATTGATCATGATTCTCAGCCTTCTTTGATCATAAACCCCTTTGAGAGTCTTATTAAAGCTGTAGCTCTTTTCCCTCAGTAATAATGTACAAACATGCCTGCAACTCCGGGGGTTCATGAACTCTTTAAATCCCTCTGCCCCATATTCTATAGACTTTGTTTACAAATCTGTGATAAGCTATATGATTTTTTTTTTTTTTTTTTTTTTTTTTTTGGCGGTCCGCGGGCCTCTCACTGTTGTGGCCTCTCCCGTTGTGGAGCACAGGCTCCGGACGCGCAGGCTCAGCGGCCATGGCTCACGGGCCCAGCCACTCCGCGGCATGTGGGATCTTCCCGGACCGGGGTACGAACCTGTGTCCCCTGCATCGGCAGGCGGACTCTCAACCACTGCACCACCAGGGAAGCCCAAGCTATATGATTTTGACTATATTTTTTAAAACATAGAAAAATGATCAGATTTTATCAGCAGTTCACCCCTGGCTGGTAGAATTAGGGGTGACTTATTTCCATTCCTCCTTTATATTTTTCTGTATTTTCTGAAGTTGCTGCAGTTATATATTGACATATGGAGAAAAGAAAGTAAACCGTAATCTAAGATAACAGCCTGTCTTATAAAATGGAAAAGAAAAACAGAAAAAGAGATTAGTCAGTGGACACACACAGTGACTAGACTCTCCTTATCTCCTGGGGAGGGTCTAATTATGCCATTACTATCAGCATCATCTTACAGAACGAGATTAAGTCATAATCCTCTCCTCAGACCCTCATGGCAGCAAATAGCAGAGATGGAGTTTGAGCCAAGGGCAGTTGAGCTTGAAAGCCTGGGCATTTGACACCGTACTGTGCTGCAGGCAGGACTCTGAGAATCCCAGCAACCTGGAGTTAGCCCATCTTTTAACTATAAAGAAGACCAATGACTCACCAGTAGAGATGCTCTTTCAGTTTGTTCCTGAGATGAGGTTGCTCACAGCAGCAAGGTCGGCCTCTGCCTCTCTGATGTGGTCCGTGTTTCCGTTGAGTAATTTTTAAGAGCCCTCTGTTGGTGATTATAGGAGACCCAGCCCTTCCCCATCTTGCAGATCAGAATCCACATGACCAGCCTGCACCCATGTAATTTGGGAGTCAAAGAGACGAAGGAGTGGCTCTGATGCTGCACAGCCCCTGCAACCTGGCTGGGGTCTTACTCTTTTGCCAGGATCCAAGAGGGTTTTAATTTGTAAACTGAAGGGGAGCGATAGAGTGTCTGGTGGTCCACTGAAGATGGTGTCATTTGTACCCTAAAATTATTTCATTCCCTAGTCGTATGTCTCTTTGGGGCAGTTCGGGTCTGGACCAATGCAAAGTCGATGCTATGGCCTGGGTTCCCTGTGTGCCTGCAGCTCCATTATATGTGACGGCCCTGATTCTCATACCAGTCCTGCAAGTAGGTATTACACCATTTTATAGATGAGAATACAGTGGACTGTAGCCAAAGAACAGCCCCACGGACTCACAGCTAATAACTGCCACTTCCAGGATACAAACCCAGGTCTCCGTCATTGCCAGACCAGTGGACTAAATGGCTTCTAGATGATGGGTCTGCCAGAGGGCCGGACAGCCCTTCCTCCTAAACCCACACCACTCAGACAGTGCTCACCACCCTGTTTGTCCAGGCTAGAATCAACAGTGAACAGGCTGAACCAAATACTGCAGGTCAAAGCACCCATCTTTCTGAAAGAAATCTTCTGAGACAAGACATTCCTTCACAGTGAGCCAGCCTGACATCTTGGAATCTTTAAGCTTTGAGAGATGAGTTTTTCTCAGACAAACGAACCACGTTACTTAGGACCAGTTCACAGGGTGATGTTAGAAGGGGCTGAACCTTGTCAGACACACTGGCTCAGCCATGCTCGTCCCTCTCAGCAATCGCTTACCCTCCGTGGGGAAGAACAGGCCTCAGCCCGGTGCCCTCCGTGACCACATACATGCTTGGGAAGGAGGGGTGATGTGTACCTTAGCGAGAGCGTGACCATACTTGCCTTAACCATTCTCCAATGGAAAGTTCTCCGATGGAAAACTTGCAACTGAATTAGATGATAAGAGCCCCTCACAGTTTGGGGGTCAGAATTGTATTTCAGCCACTTTACAAAGTGCCTTCTGCTGTCTTCCAGTTTGTAGTGCTCGTTGCTTTTCTTTGAAACAAAACTCTGAACTTCTTAAGGGCAAGTACCCAACCGTATGTCTTGGGTTTTTCCCAGAATACGTAAACATTTCCGAAACGGAATTGGGGGAGAGTAAAAGGGCTGTGGCAGCCGTGTCCCCCGCGGATTCTCAGAAGTCAGACTGTGTTGACCTGCTTCCTTTTTCTGAACACCTGACATTCTGGAGCCAGGGCCCTGCGTAGGACGGCAGTTCAGGACGCAGGGATGAGGCAGTTGCTGCTGGTAGAGGAGTAACTGCCAGGCGGTGGTGGGTGGTGGCGGCTGTGGAGGATGAGTTGGAAAAACCCTCAGAAAAGCAGCCTAACCGGAGGGCGGCAGGTGGCGGGTCAGTTGTCGGGACGGGCACGTGGGTCTGAGTGTTTTGGTCAGCCCGTAGTTACCAAGTAATCAGAAACCAACACCAGAAGCGATCTTCTTCTCTTGGTTTTTAGGCAAAAAGGAAAACAATGACTAAAAGAAAAACTACTAGGAATTTAACAGTAAAATAGAAAGATGCACCCGAGCCCCACAGTGAATGTGGCCCACGGGTGTGGCTCAGCCTCCTTCCAAACCCGAGCTGTTCCGTAGAGCCTTCTGAGATGACAGGCGTGTCCTGTGTCTGTGCATCCAACACAGCGGGCACTAACTCCTGTGGCTCTTAGGCACTCGAAGTGTGGCTAGTGCAACCACAGAGCCAAGCTTTTAGTTTTAATTCTGATGAGTTTGAATTTAAGCAGCCACATGAGGTCAGTGGTACTGTACTGAACAGGGCAGTTGTAAACCAAAGACTTCTCCAGTTCACAGGAGACCCCGTGTAACAGGCAGAGCAGCCCTGTAACCGTGCTGGCTTAGCAAGGCGGAGGGGTGGATGGAGCCCTCTGGGGAAGGCTGTCAGCAGGACACTCAGGCCATGAGGCTCTCTGGGCTCCATTCCTTCCTCAGCCAACCTGAACAGCCAGAGAATCTGCTCCTTGGGCAACTGGCAGAATTGAAGTTAAAGAAAAAAGAGGCTAAGGCGTTTTGATTTGTGACAGGAGAATACTGTATATTACAGCTGCAGAGAGCAAGCTGGAGGGACCTCACCTGTGACCCCTAGTCCAGGCAGGCGTGGACCCCCGGACTGCATTGCTGGGAACTTCCTCAGCGTCCTTGCCTGTGGTCACCACTTTATTCTTACTTGGTTCCGAAGTGGAGCAAGCCTTGGTCACGTCCTTGGGGACATTTGGGGCAGAAGACCACCTTGGCTGTGTGCATGACGGGTGCCCAGGCCAAATGTGGCAGGTGTGGCCCAGATGACTGCCCTGATAGGGTGGAAGAAGTTGACAGATGTACACGCCTTAGGACAGTTCAGCTCGACCAGCCACAGGCTCGGCGACAGAAATTCAGATCCACAGGAAGGGATGATGTGCCATCAGCCATGAGAGGCCACCATAGCTAGCGTAGGCTCCCATGGCCAGAGCAGGGCGAGGAGGAAGGTCATTTGTGGGCAGTGAGTTTGTCTTGCATCTTTTCTGAGGGAAACGCCTCAATGGCAACAAAAGGAGATAGGGTGCCCCCTAGTGGCCTTATCTTTGCTCCCCGTCATTCTGAAACTTAAAAATCCTTTGACATCTTCCAACAGGGTTGCTTGAACATTTTCTACTGCATCCCACAGTCAGAACGTTACATGACTACCCAGGTGTGTATGTGTATAGACAGAGTCAAACAAGAGCCTCATAAAACAATGCTTATCCTTAACCACATGCAATATGATGGAAAAACGCGTTCATATTTTCTATTATATGCTATTTCTTTTTTTTTTTTTTTTTTTTTTTTTTTTTTTACCCTTTTATAGGAACATTTTTACAAAAGCATCAGAGTACGCCCAGAACTGCCTGTAAATGACAAAAGACTTAAAAGTGACCACGGTTAAACATTTGATGAAAGTTCATAATAATGCAGTTGACAAGGAAATTTAGTTATTTCTGAGGTACACATTTTAAAATAACAACTAGAGTTATGACTTATAACATTATACCAGAACATATAAGATTTTTAGGAATTTCATGTAATGTCTGAAACATTTATATTAATATATTTCCATACAAATAACCCAAAGAAAGTTTAGTATTAGGTTTTTTTTGTTTGTTTGTTTTAATTTTTGAATTTTATTTATTTTTTTATACAGCAGGTTCTTATTAGTCATCAATTTTATACACATCCGTGTATACATGTCAATCCCAATTGCCCAATTCATCAAACCACCATCCCCACACCCCTGCAGCTTTCCCCACTTGGTGTCCATATGTTTGTTCTCTACATCTGTGTCTCAACTTCTGCCCTGCAAACCGGTTCATCAGTACCATTTTTCTAGGTTCCACATACATGCGTTAATATATGATATTTGTTTTTCTCTTTCTGACTTACTTCGCTCTGTATGGCAGTCTCTAGATCCATCCACGTCTCAACAGATGACCCAATTTCGTTCCTTTTTATGGCTGAGTAATACCCACTGTATACATGTACCACAACTTCTTTATCCATTCATCTGTCGCTGGGCATTCAGGTTGCTTCCAAGACCTGGCTATTGTAAATAGTGCTGCAATGAACATTGGGTGCATGTGTGTTTTTGAATTATGGTTTTCTCTGGGAATATGCCCAGTAGTGGGATTGCTAAGTCATATGGTGATTCTATTTTTAGTTTTTTAAGGAACCTCCATACTGTTCTCCATAGTGGCTGTATCAATTTACATTCCCACCAACAGTGCAAGAGGGTTCCCTTTTCTCCACACCCTCTCCAGCATTTATGGTTTGTAGATTCTCTGATGATGCCCATTCTAACTGGTGTGAGGTGATACCTCGTTGTAGGTTTGATTTGCATTTCTCTAATAATTAGTGATGCTGAGCAGCTTTTCATGTGCTTCTTGGCCATCTGTATGTCTTCTTTGGAGAAATGTCTATTTAGGTCTTCTGCCCGTTTTTGGATTGGGTTTTTTGTTTAGTATTGAGCTGCATGAGCTGTTTATATATTTTGGAGCTTAATCCTTTGTCCGTTGATTCATTTGAAAACATTTTCTCCCATTCCGAGAGTTGTCTTTTCGTCTTCTTTATGGTTTCCTTTGCTGTGCAAAAGCTTTGAAGTTTCATTAGGTCCCATTTGTTTATTTTTGTTTTTATTTCCATTACTCTAGGAGGTGAATCGAAAAAGATCTTGCTCTGATTTATGTCAAAGAGTGTTCTTCCTATGTTTTCCTCTAAAAGTTTTATAGTGTCCGGTCTTAAATTTAGGTCTCAAATCCTTTTTGAGTTTATTTTTGTGTATGGTGGTCAGGAGTGTTCTAATCTCATTCTTTTACATGTAGCTGTCCAGTTTTCCCAGCACCACTTATTGAAGAGGCTGTCTTTTCTCCATTGTATATCCTTGCCTCCTTTGTCATAGATTAGTTGACCATAGGTGCGTGGGTTTATCTCTGGGCTTTCTATCTTGTTCCATTGATCTGTGTTTCTGTTTTTGTGCCAGTACCATATTGTCTTGATTACTGTAGCTTCGTAATATAGTCTGAAGTCAGGGAGTCTCATTCCTCCCTCTCCGTTTTTTTCCCTCAAGACTGCTTTGGCTATTCGGGGTCTTTTGTGTTTCCATACAAATTGTGAAATTTTTTGTTCTAGTTCTGTAAAACATGCCATTGGTAATTTGGTAGGGATTGCATTGAATCTATAGATTGCTTTGGGTAGTGTAGTCATTTTCACAATATTGATTCTTCCAATCCAAGAACATGGTATTTCTCTCCACCTGTTGGTATCATCTGTAATTTCTTTCATCAGCATCTTATAGTTTTCTGCATACAGGTCTTTTGTCTC